GTCGAAAAAAAATCAGGTGGATTTTACTTCAACCAGACCCTTATGCTGATTCCAGCGATAAGTTTCATTTTCCGTCAGACTTTTATGCACGGAACGAACAGGAACTGTGAAAGTGATAATGAGTGCATTTACATCAAGTAACCGCTTCCGCGACCCGTCGCATTCCATTATAGACCGAACTCGTTAACATTTATAGCATAGGGGGTGCGCTAGTAGTAACACGAGCCTACGATGACGCGAAAGTCGTGAGCTTTCGCATTACCTACTGCTAAGTGGAACTTCATTACAGCATACTGGTAGAGATTAAGCGTACTGCCGACATCGTCGTGATGCCACTGGCATAAGAGAGAAAACTAGGTCACCAATGTTGAGGGAAAAGTGCAACCGCGCGCCGGGCGCGGCAGACGCGAAGAGCAGCCACCGCGTGGATATGCCTAATGTAACCGTGCCAAATATTCACACGTGGTAGCACTCCACGTTCGTCCAGTCGACCAACACTATGTCCTCCACCAACGCCGCAGCCCACCAGGTGGTCCTCACCCTTTTGCGTCGCGGTTTTGGCGACAACGATACCGCGCTACTCCTTGGCGGGATGACTCCCGATAAAAAACCACGTCCCGTGGAAGGCATCGGTAGCACGATTGATCTCTCGGTCGTCGAAGTTACGGCCGCCCAGAAGGTATTGGAGGAACAAGTCACTCAAATGACTTACCCCGACGACGCCACCCGATGTCGCATTTGAAGGGTCGTGCGGAAGGTTGGGCGTTCTCCAAACACTTGATGGACCGCCACTGCTTCCCTTCCTTCGCGGTCTTTGAGACCGAACTAAAGGCAATGTTTCTGCCGCACAACAGCGATTTTCGTTATCGCTCACAGTACCTGGCATGCAAGGAAGGGAAATGTTCCCTCCAGGAGTTCATCGATGACCTTCGCTTCTTGGCAGCGAATATTAACGATGAAAGATCACTCCCTCAGCCCCTACGGGTGACCGTTTTCATGGACGGTCTCAACCAAGGCCCGACGCGCACTCAACTGTTTCGCGCCTAACCGGACACCTTCGAAGAAGCCATCCGAATTGCGCTTTCGGAGTCGTTTTCCTCCTCCTTCGCGCACGCACGCGCGGCCTCTTCGGACATGGATGTCTCAATGCTCACCCAGGCATCAGACGGCCGCACGTGTTTCAATTGAGGTCGTCCTGGACACTTTTCCCGCGCATGTCGGGCACCTCGCCGTGTGGCGTCAGCCGCTCCTCCCGTGCCGCTCCTGATACCCCTTCGCGTCGCCCTCCGAGCGGTCCACCTAACCGCTTCAATCGCGAACGCCATGACGGCTCACGTCCGCCTTTCCGCCCCGCTCCGAGCTTGAGTGCGGCGGGAAACGGTCGCTCCCAGTAGGCGGGAGACGACCTACTGGGGACACCCTAGGTCCATTAGAGGTGTGTGGCGCGCTGAAACACTCTCAGGACCTAGCCTCGGACACATACCTTCTTCTGTGTCGTGTTGGGTTCCAACCCAACAAAATGATTTGTTTGGAACTTGTCGTGCCTGGCTTCCCGGCCAGGCTCTCTGCTTTAATCAATTGTGGGACGTCGAACAACTCCGCCAGCCGCTCCACTCTCTCTCGCTTCAATCGCTTACCCTCTTCGGATCCCTCCGACAGGGTTCGCGTCAAGATGGCCGACGGCCACACTGCGTCTCAACCACGCATAATCGTCGACGTTTCCATCACCTTCGACGGTTTCGACTCGGTCGAACCGTTCTATGTTATCGACCTCGATTCGAGATGGGATCTCATCCTCGGGATGTCCTGGCTAGATTCCCACCAGCCATGGAGTGACTGGAAGGCCAAACCCGTGCACAAGGTTACTTGGCTCAACGCGAGCCAACCCTGGATTCATCGGCGGGCTGTCGATCGCCTTCCCTTGTCCACCACCAACCCGCTTGACCCTCCGTTAGAGGCGATGAGTAATGATCTCGCCTCTCCCAGGCCCGCAGTGCGCTCACTGACCCCAGCGCCCTCGGCCCTCCCGGACCCAGCCACGGTGCTGCACAACACATCTTTCGTTCCCCCAACAGAGTCGCCCTCTGTTGTTATCGGTGAGGCTCCGTTATCGCCCCCGATAGCTGCCTCGACCTTGGCGGCCACGTTTATCGAAGAAACGTGTAACTTGAACGAACTCCCTCGGACGTCTTCCGAGATCCTGGCACTGCCAGAGATGAGCTTCCACTCGCACGTGGAATCTCTCCGCGCCCACGATATCGCCGCCTTGGCGATGATCACTTTCGAAGAAGAGACGGATCTCTTTTCGACCTCGACCGCAGATGATTCGGTCCTCGCCGCTCCTCTGAAGTCCCAGACGAGGGACTCCCCCTATTACGACCTCCTCCGAGAATTTGAGGACGTCTTCCCCGACGAGGTGCCGTGCCGACTCCCAGTCGACAAGGGCGTTCAACACGAGATTGACCTCGTGCCCAGCGCTAAGTATTGTGTCACGCGGCTATGACCGCTTCCTCGCGACCAAGTCGATGCCATCGACGCATTCTTCGCGGCCCGCAAGGCGGCGGGTCATGTCCGCGAGAGCATTTCCCCTCACAACAGCCCGACCTTCTGTGTGAAGAAGCCCGGAGGGAAATGGCATATCGTACACGCCTTTAACAAATTGAACGCAGCCACGATTCCGGCGCAGACGCCGATTCCTCGCAAAGACGTTATTATCGACGGCATGGGTCGATCTACCATTTTCTCCACCATCGACCTCCGCGATGGCTTTTACCAGATCTTGATGCGTCTATGTGACGTCCCTATAACGGCAGTTTCTACGCCGAGTGGCATGTTATGGGAGTGACTGGTCATGCCACAGGGTCTATCCAATGCCCCGGCGACGTTCAACCGCATGGTTACCGCGAAGTTCCGCGCGTTTCGCGACTTCGCCCCGTCGTACTTCGACGACATCTACGTTCACAGTTGCGCTTCATCCGCGCAGTCTGATCTGGACTCGCCCCCGCGTATTGTTGTGCCCGGTGACGCACTGCTGAGCCTCACTCTCCTTCGATCCTACCATGACTCCGCCAGTGGTGCCATTTCGTCGGCGACAAAATGCACGCGGTTCTGGCGCGTTCGTACTGGTGGCCCCGAATGTATAAATCAGTTGTGCGCTACGTCGCTCACTGCGACGTCTGCCAGAACCCTAAGGTCACCGCCTCCTCCCGGGCACCGCTCCAACCTCTGCCTATTCCCGACGAACTTTGGTCGTCCGTCAGCATGGATTTCATGTTTGGCCTGCCGCGCGACGCCCGCGGCAACACCGGCATTATGGTTTGTCTCGACCGCGCGTCGAAGTACGTTATTGCCGTCCCCATCCGGGACACGCTGAGCGGCGCGGACGCCGCTCGCATCTTTTTCTACCACGTTTTCTGTCGCTTTGGCCTGCCTCGCTCCATCGTTTCGGACCGCGACCCGCGGTTCACGGCGAAGGTTTGGTCCACCCTATTCGCCCTATGCGACACCTCGCTCGATATGTCGACTTCAGACCACCCCGAGTCCGACGGCCAAACGGAACGCGCCAACCGCGTCCTCGAAGATATCCTTCGGAGATACGCCGTTTCTACCGGTTCCTCGTGGGCTGTCACGTTACAGCATGCGGTTTTCGCTTACAACGCCTCGGTTCAGGCGTCCACTGGCTTTTCGCCGCATTATGCGGTCCATATCCAACACCCCTGCCTCCTTCCAATGCTCGACGGTTCGATCTCCAATTGGGGTGGAATCACTGCGCGGCTCCCCTTCTGCAGGCGTACCCCCCAACGCCCCCAGCCGCACTCTCCAAACCATCCAGGGCTTCCTCTCCCGTCACGTCTCTGTCATGCAACAGATCCATGACAGCATCGCTGCCGCTCAGCAGCGCCAATCAACTCAAGCCAACAAACATGGCCACTCTAACCTCGCGACCTTAGCCGTTGGCGAATAAGTTCTCCACAAGTCGGCGGTACCCGCCCATGCATTCCGCACCCGTGCGGTTGGAATGTCTTCCAACGTCAAGCTACGCAGTGCTTGGCACAGCCCCTTTACCGTTCTCCGCGTGGTCAGCACAACCAACTACAAGCTCGATCTACCCAACTCATGGCAGATCCATCCAACATTTTATGTGGGTAAACCCCCATTATCTACATCTACGACCGATGAAGTGACGGCAAACGATTCTCTGGATCCCACGGCGGCTCTTCCGTTTCCGCCGCCACCGACTTCTTCTCCTCCCCCGACACCCTAGCCGTCGCCGCCCTCGACATCGGCACCACCACATGTTGCGGCGCCGCAATCGCCCGCGCCTCCGCCCGATAATCTGCGGCTGCTTGCCGCTCCGCCGCTGTCAACTGACCGTCCCGTTAAGGTCCCAACGGCGGATTGTACCCCGCGAACGGATTCATCGGCCGCGCCGCCGACAATCGTGTTGCAACCTGCGCCGCCGTTGCTCGCATCTTTGCGCTCCCACTTCGACGAACTCGCCGTCGGCGAAGCCCATACGCTCGACCAGGCGCTCGCAGGGAGTACCGAAAACCCGCTTGGCGTCAACAGCGCCCCTTGCACTTGCGCCGCCGCCGACATCGTCGCTTGCCCCCGAGGGGGTGAGCGCCTTGGCACCGCCGATCGCCCACGCGAGCGCGATCGTGGGATCGCGATGGAGAGCGACGGGTCGACAGTTCGCTGTGCGAGTCGGGCCAACTACAACTTGGCATTCAGAGGATTATGTCAAACAACACTTACCTCAGGTCCGCGCCGCATATTTACGCGGGCGGCGATTCGTGCGACAGACTGTGGGTCCAATCGCCCATGCTTCTGTCGCCGCACCCCGGCGAAATTAGACAGCGAGTTGGCCAACCGCCCCGCTGTCAGCGGCAACTGCCCATGCCGCCCACTGCCTTGTCCGAAAGCGTCCACACAAACGCTACAAGGTACTGTAGTAATGTTTCATCATTGCAAAGCTCGATCCGACCCACGTCCACAGTTCAGCGCTCCAGGCGCTCCCGTTCATGCAACTCGCGCATGGCGCCCATGAACTCATCGAACCGGTGAAAACTCACCCTCGCAAGCTGCATGCATTCCATGGCCAATAACATCCACAACACCCGCAACTCAAACGATTGGGCGCTTGCAAAAGCGCAGGTATCGTTCCACGCCGGCAGCATTGGCCTTCTGGTATCCCCAATCCTCGCGATTCTCGTCGAACTCGCCCACCACCGTCAAACGGCGCGTAACGTCGCGCACATACCCCAAGTCCACGCCACCCCAACCGGCAGGCCTGAAGATTCGAGAGCAATCCCAGTGGAACCCCAACTCTCGCTCGAACACTTCGTCTCGGGCGAGGCCGGTCCGCTCCGGCCCACTAAGCTCAGCTTCCACTTTGGTCTCCGTCTTTACGGCGGCTTCCTTGCCGCTTGGCTTTCCTTCCTTTCCCCCGAAGTCTGCAGCGTTGGGATGTCCTCCATTACCTGATGATGTCCCAGTCACACCTCCGCTGGCTCCCGTACTCGCTGCTTCCGCAGCCTCCTTGGCTGCTTCGTCAGCCGCCTTCGCCGCAGCCGCTGCGATCGCTTTGGCCTCTTCGGCGCGCCTTGCCTTCGCCTTCAACTCTTCGGCCGCTTTTGCCTTCTTGGCGGCCTCCTCCCGTGCCAAGTGCTGCTTCAGCAGCTTTTGCACACTGCTTGCATGGCGCTCTTCACCAAGTCGGCAGCCGCTTGCTGCTCCAGCTGTCCAAGCCGTTCGCACTTCACGGTTGCCTTGACCTCCCAGTCGGCCTTGCACTGCGCCATTTCGGCCGCGTGGCGCCACTCCGCCGTCGTCATCCGACTCGGCTGTGAGGTCCACTACCTCCACTTGCTGCGCCGGCGCTTTGGCCTCTTCCACGCTGTCGTCGGCATCCTCGGCGATTTCGCTCACCTTGCGCTTCTTGCCTTCGTCTGCCATCTCCAATCTCAACTGTCACGTCACAGTTCCCTCTCATTTCTGACCACGTGATGATGGTACGTTCTGTCTTAAGTAGGGGAGGGTGTAACCGTGCCCATAATCCGGTAAATAACCGGATGACTAGTCGACACCTCTTCAGTCCAAGGTGTCACTTCGCAGACCAACATGTCCTCTTGCGCAACCAAGGTGTTCCCCCGACGATACATCAATGGTTGGTTGCACGTAGTTTAGTGATAGCGTAGTAGTCTTAACGCTATCAATTCATCCTTGATTTTAACATCTCCTGCGTCTTCCTCTGCACACGCTCACACCTAACCCCGCCAGCGCCAACAAGAAAGTGATCGAGTACCTGCTTTGGAGCGTGGTCATCGGGTCCGACTCGGTTGGTCCGGGCTCGGTCACGCACAAGATGCCGATGGAGGACACAAACGACACGGGGGACTCGATCGCGCCTTCCTTGTCGAGGGAAATGGCGCCGATGATCTCGGCCGCGACGCTCTCAAACAAACACGTCAGCGCTGCTCCCGACGCAGTCGACGACCATGTCCCCAACCAAGTCGGCAATCACCGACGGATTGCGCGGGTCGTCTTTGGGGATGCCCTGCTCGACCTTGCCGACGTCGGCGGCCTTGGTGTAGATGCCCCGCCCAATTGCACGAACAGCGCCACGACTGACGAGCCAACCCCGACCATGAGCATGGGGATTTCCGTGGCACTCATGACGGGCGTGAACGCGGCATGCAGCAGCATGTGTTGAATGCTCACACCCGCCACGAATAACGTGATGTCGGGGACGGCGGAAAACGCGCCGCCGCAGTTGAGCAGCGCCTCGCCGTACGAACGATGCGCGGGCGCTCTCCACCATCAAGGTATGCCTTCGTTGGCCATCAGTGTAAATTGAATGGGAATTATTATAAAGATTGCATGCTGTACTGTATTTGACTATGTTAAGCAGAACTTTTGTATATTATTTTAGACTGTATAACTCTTCCGGATAGCATAGGTCTGGAGGGTGATATCTTGACGAAAAAGCCCTATGATAGGTATTTTCGGGGCTGAACTTATGTTTGGACTTATTGAGACCCCGATAAAACCAAAGGGTGGGAGTATAAGTCCAAAATTGGTCCTATCTAAGGGTTATCCGTATATATCACACCTTTAAGTCTGACGAGTGGAGATGCTCTTAAGAAAGTGAAGGTCAGTGGCAAGCATTCTCGGCGTTCAAGATGAAGTTCAAGAATATCTGTCAACTGCAGTACATCCAGGGAATTATCACGGACAGGAGACCCCACCAAGCTACGTCGCATCGGAGGTGGAAACATTTTTCTACGAAGATCGAGTCAACGTCGCGAAATCCTACCTTCAAATGTGCCTGTCGAACGAGGTGTTCGAACTGGATCCAGGGGATCATGCACCAGCCGAAATGTGGAATACGCTGATGGCCAACTTCGAAACCAAGGAATAGTCGAACACAATCAATGAATTACGCCGCTTCGGTCAAATGCGCTACGACCCAAAATCAGATATGATGAAACATATCACCCAAGTATGGAGTTAATCCGTTGGGTAAGTACAAATGCGACATTTCTCCGTTCGGTAAGTACTAGTACTGTACACGATTGTATTAATTTAAATTCACAAATCTACGAGCGAGCTTTACATACTGTGGAGGCAGCAGAATGACAGCATAGCTGAGGTGTAGTTGCACATCTGCTTCCAACTTCCCTTGAAATCTACATACAGACCATGGTTTACAACTTCATCTATGACACCTCGCAGCAGCAGCACGACCAACTTCTCTCTTAGACAAAATGCTTAATCGATGTCCCCTTTCCCAAGTATGGATAAACGTAGAATGCAACAATCTCATTGTGCTAGTAGCTACACGGCATGTTGTGAAGTATTAATAGCAGTTTGTACTAAACTGCCTGAATTCAAATTACAGTCGGCGACGGAATTTAAGGGGCACTTACTACTTCGATTATTCGGAAACACACGGTATGATTGGCTGAGAAGCTTCGAAATTCGTTCAATATTGTGGCCAACCATATTCGAGACTCTGGATTTTCTGCAGTTTCAAACATCGAGGTATTTTAAATTGATTGGTACGATGCGCCTCTTACAAAGATAAGCGTTTGACGCGATAGCGCAGTGGTAAAACACGTTGTGTCTTGAGTGAGTCCCGGGCGCGTCGAACTTTTTTTATTAAAAATTGTAAACGACATGTACAAGTATTTATTGCATGTACTAGTATTTATTGTGGAATTGCCTTTGAGAAGCTCCGCCTAATTTCCTCCGGCGTAATCAACGCCCACGCCTTAATTGCGCGATGAATCATGACAAGCCGCTTCTGCTGGGCAGGGACACTCATCAAATCTACATCTTCCTCACTATCACCACCCTCAATGAGGTCTTCCTCCAACCATAAGTTCCGCAGGTGCCGCTTAAACGGTGCCATAATTCCAACGTCCAATGGCTGGACCACACTTGTTGCGTTCGGAGGGATTGGAGCCACGACACACTCCTCGCTTGCGATCTTCATTCCTTCCTTGCTCACATGAGAATCGAAGTTGTCCAAAAGCAAAACAGAGGGCTCATCGAGCCGAGGTCTCAGTAGGTTCCGAAGGTAGAATGCCCAGACCCT